TTTTATACAAGAGGGCCATGATGGCCCTGAATTCGCTCACCTGTATATAGGCCCCCCAACCCCCACCCCACCCACCCCAACGTTGCAGGGCCAATTTAACCAAGGGCTTTTATTTGCACAAACTTGGTAGACACCCATAAGAAGATGTTTCATGCTAAACATCTAAGCTCTAGCTCATTGGGCTTTTTATAAGAAGATTTTTTTTAAAGTTTTTACTATACACATATAGTTAAAAACAATGACACCCCTGGGGCCTGGCCAGTTTTGACCCCAGGGCTTTTATTTGAACAAACTTTGTAGACACTTACTAGAAGATGTTTCATGCTTAATAACTAACTCTAGCTATTTGGGTTTTTTCAAAGAAGATTTTAAGTTTTTGCTATACACATATAAAGAAAATCAATGACCCCCGGGGCGGGGCCAATTTTGACCCCAGGCCTTTTATTTGAACAAACTTGGTAGACACCTATTAGAACATGTTTGATGCTAAATATCTTAGCCATAGCTCTTTGAGTTCTTTAACCTTTTCCCTGATACAGCCCCCTTAATTTACTGCTTTACACCCCATAATACAGTAGCCAGATAGATAATCAATAATCAATATCCTACTGATAAGGAGTCACACACTATCTCCATATAGGGTATGATAAATTATAGGTAAAATTGGTCAAATTAGATACCTATATACTTTAACTGGAAAATAAAGTATTAAGTTGTGTTTTGACAATTTTTGTATCAATAAAAAGTTTGTAGAGAATTGAAATACCTTTCCAATGGTATAAATATCATATTTGTTGGGTTTATACAAATATGTCTACATGAGTTATAAAGTAATAAACTATATACTTGATGGTGTTTTTTTCTCCATTGTTTCAGATAGATTAGGCTACTTATGTGTTTTAACTAATGTGAAATGGTTTAATTACAAGTTTGACAATATATATGTCAATGTAAGATTTGTAGAGATTTGAATTATCTTTCCAGTGGTATAAATTTTATATTTGTGGGCTTTATAACAGTATAATTACAGTAGTTATAAACAATAAAATGATGTATAATTTTTCTCTCTCTTTTACAGGGATTAGGGAAATATGGCTAATTTATTATTAATTTTTTTGGTTTATGCAGCATTCATTTTTAGTGAAATAAATAACAAGTTCTTTTTTTACCTTTTTTTATACCAGTAAAAAGAAATCTCACTTTGTTTTTATTTATTTATTTTATTAGTTTTTTTTTTATAATTTATTTCATAATAGTAACTGTCATTTCTGTAATACATGTATATAACTGTTGAATGAAATATTTCAGAATTTCTGCTGTCATGGTCATATATTTTCTTCATGAATTATGAATTTAATTAAATTTTATCATTTATAGATCTAATTTAGATCAAATGATGATAAAGGAAAGACATCCTCAAGTTCCACGGCCTTTTTGGCATTTTCATGTTGCCGACATCAAAGATGATATATGGGATATGATTTTATCATGTCGTATAATACATGGCCCCATGCTGTGTCTGTTATGAAAACAATAGCGCACATGAAAGAATTTAAACTATTAGACATTTCTTTGTCGGTCATTTTCTTAAAAAAATCGCCGCTGCTACCGGAAATATTTTATTGCAGGGGCCAGAGAGATACCCCTAGTCAGGACGTTAATTAATCCGTGTATATACACATGTCAGCTATCATAAACCAAAACAAACATCAAATCCATTATACCATGCCTGGCACGTGAACGACCCGTGATCATATAAATACTATTTATTCATTAGTTGCTATTTTTAGACACTTTTGTTCCTGTCTTACGATACGTTCTATATTTATTTCATTGACCCGCCCACTCATTAACTGCGTGACGTAAGGAAAACCCCTCACCTGGTTGGTCGCTAATTATACAAAAACTTTAAATAGTAACACCATAATTTTATGCACGGAATCCCCTCATAAAATGTTGATCTTTACGATAACACAATTTACAGGTCTATTTTCCGGGAAAATTGTTGATTTTTGGACAGGTAAATATTGAAGTCGGCGAAAGTCGCTTCCATTGAGATCATGCATGTCGGCGATTCTCGCTTACATGCAGTAATCGATAAAGCCGTCGATTCTCGCTTCTATCAGGGAATGGTAAAAGACGGCGATTCTCGCTTCTATAAGGGAAAAGGTTAAAAGATGATTTTTTAAGTTTTTACTATATGCATATAAGGAAATCAATGACCCCCTGGGGCAGGGCCAATTTTGACCCCAGGGCTTTTATTTGAACAAACTTGGTAGACACCTATTAGAACATGTTTGATGCTCAATATCTTAGCCATAGCTCTTTGAGTTCTTTAAAAGAAGATTTTTTAAGTTTTTACTATATGCATATAGGGAAAATCAATGACCCCCCGGGGCGGGCCAATTTTGACCCCAGGGCTTTTATTTGAACAAACTTGGTAGACACCCATTAGAACATGTTTCATGCTAAATATCTTAGCTCTAGCTCTTTGGGTTCTTTAAAAGAAGATTTTTTAAGTTTTTACTATATGCATATAGGGAAAATCAATGACCCCCCGGGGCGGGGCCAATTTTGACTCCAGGGCTTTTATTTGAACAAACTTGGTAGACACTCACTAGAAGATGTTTCATGCCAAATATCTAAGCTCTAGCTCTTATGGTTTTTTAGAAGAAGATATTTAAAGTTTTTTCTTTCGGTTGCCATGGCAACCAGAGTTCTGCATGGAATTAAATTCTTTGAACAATTTTTAAAGGTGACCACCAAAGGAACATTCCTGTGAAGTTTGGATGAAATTGGCTTAGTGGTTTATGAGGAGATGTCATTTAAAGTAAAAGTTTACGGACGGACGACGGACGGACGGACGGCGGACGGACTACGGACGGACGCCGGACGAAAAGCGATCACAAAAGCTCACCCTGTCACTTTGTGACAGGTGAGCTAAAAAGCCGCCAATATTGGAGTAAATTTCCCTATGAAGTCACCTGATGAAAATACAACAGCAATTTATTTTTTCTCAGAAATTTTAATGTCATTTCATAGTTGTACATGCACCAATTAAATATATAATTATAGACATAATTAATTAACATTAAAAAGATAATTAAATCTTAACGCAAGCTAAATCCGCAAAATAAAAGTCGGCAGTGATATACACATTTACATACATACAGAACTTGCAAGAATTGTGAATGTAATACACCAGAATAACAATCAGAAATTAGGATATTACCAAATCATCAATAACAATTTGTATCAATTATATATATCAGAATCAACCTGAGATTCCTATCTATATGTGATATTTAACTATTGGAACTCAACTCCCCCCCCCCCCCACCTACCTGAAATATGAAACATCACATCGCTTGTTGTACATAAATGATCTTACAATTGTATTGTCATACAGGTTTATACTAAACATGTTTTGAAGCCAACCTGAAGCAAGTATTTTATGTTTCTGGGACAACTAGGGTTAGCATACATGGGAAAGTTCCTTTGTCATCGGATTCTATAAAGCCAAAAAACTTTGAAAAATCATATGACACCTAGTTTTTTTAATAGATGTCACTCATTGACATAACTTAGAATTGTCAAAATCAGCATATTTTAAATTATATTTGTATAATATAAAGAAAAAGGTATAAATTGTGTTGCATTGATTACAGGCTACCACAATAAGATTTCGAACAAACAAGTCCCATATAAATGAACATCATGCTGCTAGAGAGGGACCTTGACCCTAGTGACCTAGACCTTTTTGAGCTTGTGACCTCGAAGAGTGTCTGCCAGGTAGAACTCATGAAGGTGCTTGCACCTGTAATGTTTGGAGGCTTTACACTCTAGGTGGAAGGACTTCCTATGATGTAAACTAGTTATACATACACATATAATGATGTAATCAGTGTATGATAATAATAACCAAAATTTGTAAACATTATTTCACTAACTGTATAAATCATATCCTGGTTTTAAAAGTTTAACAATATATTCATAAATATGTTCATAAAACTTTAACATGGGATTTTGTACATGCAGTAACAATGGGGTTTCTATATAAAATAACAAATAACAGGTTGTAACTTCATAACTAGAACTTACCATACTTATTCTTCTATCAATCTACAAATTTGTTATGTATCACATGGTATATGATATACAAATTAAGGTAGCAAGTTGAATTATATTAATTTTATGAAGTTACATCAATTTTATCAATTTAATGAAAAAAAACTTCACAAAATACTACAGAGCTTTAAGGAGCTAAAATAAACTTGTATTATCTAAACTTGTATTATCTTATGCAAATGAACCAATATCGGTCTTCAATAGACATAAATTTTCAATCTAATAAAAGCATTTTATACAATCTCGCTGTTTTTACATATCCAAGCTTATTTTGTTATACTGTATGAAAAAGCACTTTCCAAAAAATGATGAAACTTGGTTACTAACAAAATAAAGCAAAATCACAAGGTGACCAAGCATTACTCATATAAACAATGATCAATTAGGCTTTAAAATACAGCAAGCAACATTTTTTCATCCAAACACCATGTCTGCTTCAAGAACTTATATGTATTTGTGCAGTATTTTCATTTTAATTGATATTTTAAATGCAATTTACTAAAATAAGGTCACAAGAAATTATCATGTCACTCTTAGATACAAGGAATATGATGTCACCCTTAGATACAAGGAACATCATGCCACCCTTAGATACAAGGATTATCATGTCACCCTTGGATACAAGGATTATCATGTAACCCTTAGATACAAGGATAACCATGTCATCCTAAGATACAAGGATAATCATGTCCCCTTAGATACAAGGATTATCATGTCACCCTTAAATACAAGGATTATCATGTCACCCTTAGATATAAGGAATATCATGTCACCCTTAGATATAAGGAATATCATGTCACCCTTAGATACAAGGAATATGATGTCACCCTTAGATACAAGGAATATGATGTCACCCTTAGATACAAGGAACATCATGCCACCCTTAGATACAAGGATTATCATGTCACCCTTGGATACAAGGATTATCATGTAACCCTTAGATACAAGGATAACCATGTCATCCTTAGATACAAGGATAATCATGTCCCCTTAGATACAAGGATTATCATGTCACCCTTAAATACAAGGATTATCATGTCACCCTTAGATATAAGGAATATCATGTCACCCTTAGATATAAGGAATATCATGTCACCCTTAGATACAAGGAATACCATGCCATCCTTGGATACAAGGATTATTATGTCACCCTTTGATCATGTCACACTTGGATACAAGGATAATCATGTCACCCTCAGAAATCATTTCTTGCTGAAGAGACTAAACTTAATTTTTTGTCTAAACTATCAAAAATATATGAACACTTATGAGATGACAGTAAACATAAAATAAATAAATCACATGTATACAAGAATTTACACCTTCTGCCTTTATTTTTATAGAATTTTTTTTTATTAGTTTTTCAAACTTAAACCCAGTCACTGAAACTTTAACTTTAAATCATCACTTTGTTACTTTTCCACAGAATTCTTCCTTTTCAGAATTTCAACCTAAATCTCCCTTTCAAATTTAAAATAAAACTTTTTTTGGGGTTGAAAGAATCGTAAAGTTTTGAAGGTAACACATTGATGATAAAAATCACTTGCAGCAACAATAACAAACATGTGTTATGTTTCCTTAGTTGAAATGTAAAAGTGGATTCAAAATGTAAGTAAATTTTCCTAAATGATCACATGGTTATTGCATCGTGCTTAGCATTTCCATAGCTTGACTTAACTTCTCTATTTCCTGTGTCAACTCTGATTTCTGAAATATAAAGAAATACAATTTTTATTTAATAATTATCAAAAACAGATATGTTTTAGTTGGTTGTTATTCACATAGCCATTTGGCACTGTAAAGGCAATATTGAGACCTTCAAGCTTTACAAGTGGGGTAAGACCTGAAGTGCTATCCATGCATTATTTCAGGAGCAAGTGGGCACCTGAGTAGAACCACTGACCTTGAGAAAGCTAGAGCCAGATGGATAGTGGCCTCACATGATTTTTTTTTTTACATTTCTGGCAGGAGAGAAAATATATAATAAATATTAAAACATGACTCAAATAATGCATATAAAATGTCATTCTGCAAAAATAATAGCAGACATGATGTCATATGATGTTGATAATATTGGTACAACTTTAACAACCACTATCAAAATTGGTCATTTAAAATGATGCTAAAAATAAAGCCTAACAAGATACCAGACTAGAATTTTACCAAATATAAACAACGAAATTCAATAAAACAAAATAATATGATTTTATAGTGTTTAAAAAAAAATGAATTAAAATGCGTTCATGTTTTTTTTTTTGCTGTGGCCTTGGAGCATTTTGAAAGAGTAAAGTGTTTGCAACACGTTTTAAACTAATAAACTGCTTCTAGTCACACAACGTGATCACTTAAAGTGATAGCTGCCGTGTTTTATTGTCACATAAAGAATGACGATTCAATGCAATACAGCTTACTCCATGGACCGATTATAAACAACGGCACAGTAGACTCTAGATATCATCTCTAAATCAACTGATGTGCAACACTCAGGCTTTTAATTGTGCAGCTGATCAATTTAATTCACTTCCGTGCACATTCCTAATTTTTTTTTTTCTCTGATGAATGGAGATAAAGTTTTTAAAGCATTAGTGTCATACATGACACCTCGTTAAACTGTACATCCCTGTAACATACAGGCTGGGGTATTTTTTTCTTCTTATTTAATTAAAGAGGCTGGCTCATAGATAGATACATGAAATAAATTATTATTAAAGCAACATGCATGAACAGGAGTGAAAAACTGTAAAAATCTGAGATAATAATGTAGTGTGAAGATTATTGAAAGATCGTTAAACTTTAACTACTTTTATGGTTGAAACACATTTAGGGTTCCATTCATTTAAAGAACTGGCCTGCATGTGAATAGAAGTAAAAAGTAAATTTATAGGCACATTGCAGTGCCCAAGAAATCCTTTAAAAAATTTCTTTGGAAAGGTCAAACATGTGTTTATTATAGTAATGATATTACAATGGCTTTAGAGCATATCAAATTTTTAACAACTAAAGACAATAGTGCTGGATAGTAAAGATAGCAAATTGTAAACAAAATAGTATTTTCACTTCCATACGAAATACTAATTCACTATAATTATACCGATTAAAAACAGAGCAGAAGCTGCAGAAGATAGTTCATGTATAAAGCATAGGAGTATTTTTTGGAAACTGTAACAAGATTTCAAAAATAAAATGTCTTTGGGAAATAAAATTGATAGCATTTCGGCATAATGGGCCTTTAAGGATTAATGAAAAACTAGAAATGTGTCAACAGGTCCCCTGCAGTCTACAGACAATCAGCATAACAGTGTGACAAACAAAGGCAAGTCTATATTCCACTATCACTAAGTAGTTGGGGGCATAAATATGTAACTATTAAACTGCAATGCTTGAAGAGTTATGAATACAATCCATCACAAATCACTAACAAAATTCTTTAAAGAAGCTAGCTTAAAGGTGCATCATTAAAAATTGATAAAACATCACAAATAAAGATATGTATATTAAATTAAATAAAAATAATTCCAGATTTTTTTTTTAAAGATCAATAAAAACAAATCACTACATACAGAATGTCAAATAAATGATAAAATTATTAAAAGACATTAAAAATATTCTTTTATATCAAATTTTTAAGATATAATGAAATCAATTCACTACAGGGAGCGGAGCATTGATTGAAAAAATAAATTCTGTAATAATTGTAAAAATATTATCATATTATCGAACTTGAAAATAAAAACATTGTTAAAACATTCATTTCAGTAGTACAAATCATCTTGTTTATTATGTGATTTTCACAACATGCAGCAAAACTTGTTTAATTGTTCTCTTTATCAATGTGTAGAAGAACGGATTTTGTACTGATTCAGTAATAATAACTTTGTCTTTAAGGTTTGGTAATTGCAGACAAAAATAGTGAAAAACTTCTCTATTTTAGGCCCAACAGTCTGTAAATTAAATAGTTTAATTTCTTTGCTCAAAATTTTTCTATAAGAAAATCCAAATGTACCTTCTCAGTGGCATATGTTTTTCTTTTAGCTACACTTCTTTACAATAATGGTATCAAAGTTAAAGTCTATATGTTGTATTAAGAATCAAAGGCACATTAATTTGCTTCTCTATTTCTAGTCAAAGGGAGACAATCATGATCAAAGGCAAAAGTTATCTTTCTTTGAAATCCAGTATTATTCATAGCACCATACTTTTAGTTTGCTCTGAACACTAAAATATGCACAGAGCTTTAACATAAACAAAACATATTTTGATTTTGTTTTTCTTCAGGCATTGATTTGTTTAATTTCCAGCCTTAAAGGTAAAGGAAAACCTTTAGTGACCCTCTGTGCATTACCCGAGTAGAATAATCAACCCTCACATGAATAAATGCTTCAACTTGCAAAGTGCTCCCTCACATGAATAAATGCTAAGTCCCAGATATGATTCCAACCCACAGCAGCACACCTTTATATTTCCATCTTTATTTTTTTTAAATATTCTGTTACAACTGAGTATACAAACTGCATATATATATTATATTTTTTGGACTTGAGCTTATCATCACAACAATACAGTAGAAGTCATTGGTGACTTTCATGCTTTACCAGTGAAGAAAGACCTCAGGCTCCCGAGTAGAGCCAACAACGTTCTGTGACTGGATTTGAACATGCACCAGTAAGGAGCAAGTGGTTTAATGTTTACGACCTTAACCACTCTACCACAGACATATACTGTAATAAAATATTAGAATATTAACAAACCTTTTCTGATTCTTTTTGTCTCACATCTTCAGGGACTTTTGTCTCATAGTCTGCCTTCGTCATTGAACTTTCAATCTTCTGTAATTGACCGACTAGTCGCTCTTTCTTTCCTGTCAGTTTCTTCAACTCTTTATCTATATCTATAAAATCCTACAAAAACAAAATAAAAACATTACTTTGAACATCTACAGTTCATTTCACACTAAACTTCCCAGCCTCATGCACAAACTGTGCACAACATCTGAACTAGATGTGCACAACATGTGCACTTGGTATTTTTTATATACGTTTTCTCATATTTGTTCCTGGAACCAACCAGTACTAAGCAATTTTGTGTAAAAAAAGTGTAAATTTTCTTGTTGAAGCTCAGGGTATCAATGGCTTGCCCCCCCGAGGTTTGTTCCCATGCAACCAGCATGTCTTACGCCTTAACAACTTGGTCACTGACAACTTTGAGTATATGACTAAACACCCACTCTTCTTATAATAAGCTTTAGGAAAAAGAAGTTAAAACACCAATTTCTCAGATTTGATTTGCCATTTCAAATAACCATGACCTTTGAGTTTATAAAATATTTTTTATATAAATTTGACTTTAAATTTAAACATATGTATTTCAGCTTGATTGTGATTATTGCCTGTTTGTTTTTAGAACCACTTTCAAGCAACACTCTGGAAATAACTCAAACCAACAATAACTTGGTGGAAAGGTAGACACATTTTCTACTAGACCGACCGTCCCCTGACCTTTGTCATATTAACCTATACCCTACCTTTATAATAAAGTGTGTTTCACATTTAGCAGATACAGTCTGTACAGCACAACCAGTGGGAGGAGCTTCATTGACCTTTACACACTAGACCAACCCCCCCCCTGACCTTTGACATATCAACGTATAACCTACCTTTATCATAAAGTGTGTTTCACATTTCGCAGATACAGTCTGTACAGCACAACCAGTGGGCGGAGCTTCATTCACCTTGACACAGCTCGACAGCGACAGTACCTGGATCATCTCTGTGTGGGTACGTACAAGGTTAGCCGTCTCCTCGTCCGAACACTTTACATATACTGTATATAATAGATTAAATCTAGTCTATAAAATATGAACATTTTACATATACTGCTTATAATAGATTAAATCAAGTCTATACAACTTCTTGTTTCAAAGTTTATTCATTTAATTCTATGGTAACGATTTTAAAAACCAGTTGAGCACAGATCATTTAGAAATATTCAACCTTAACAGATGGCGGAAGACCACTACTTGTCCTCTATGCTGACTTTACAAATCACAGTGGGTAATGATTTCCTTAACAATATCTAACCATTTGACATTCAGCTTTCAAAAAACTTAATAATGACTAATGATAACAGCCAAATTATGATTTTTCATAAATTATTATAAATTTTCTGACAGTTACCATTTTGGGAAAATTATAGGCACTTTTGTCAATAGAAAGGATCTGTTTACCAGATCTGTTTAAAAAAGAAATCTCTTAAAGTAATGGTCCAGTCTGAAAAAGCATTCTTAATCACACAAAAACTAGTATCAAGAAAGATAACTCACACTCTGGTTTCATTTTATTGGTGATGTTATAATCTCCCCTGACAGACCGTACAGATTTCACAATGCTCTGTATGAAATCCACTTCTTCCTCCAGTTTATTATCTCTCCAAGGACACTGAAATATTTCACATGAGCCGTGTCACGACAAAACCAACATAATGGGTTTGCGACCAGCATGGATCCAGACCAGCCTGCGCATCCGCGCAGTCTGATCAGGATCCATGCTGTTCGCTTACAAAGTCTATAACATATAGTGAAACTGATAGCGAACATCATGGATCCTGATCAGACTGCGCAGATGCGCGGCTGGTCTGGATCCATGATGGTCGCAAACCCACTATGTTGGTTTTGTCGTGACACGGATCACATAATTTTAAAATAATAACTTTACAACCTTGTGCATTCTATCTTATATCTATTTAATTCTAAGGAAGACATAAAATTACCTAAACAATGCTGATAGGAGGCAGTTATTTCGTGAGATAAATTTGTAAAACACTGTAAATTACATTTGTATTTTTCATCTGAGATTTATATTTAGATATTTTGGATGATAGTCAAACTTGTTTCATCATAAAATGAATATCAAAATGTTAACTGCATAAAATTCAAATCCCTTGTTATGATTCTGGCATAGCAAGACAGAGTCAGGTTCTATGATAATTTGTATGTATTTTGTGAATTGTTTAACTGAGCAACAGAGTATTTAATGAAACTACTACAAATAACAAACAGGTTTTCTACCAAAATGATCAAATTACCAATTTCCAGATAATAATTATAACCTGTGGTATTTGAAGACAATCTTTCTATGAAAGGTAATTAGAACTAGACTCTTGAACAAAGTACGTGTACATGAGTTCAACCATTTATTTACATGAAGAGTGTATACTATATATTATGTATCCATCACACAGAACCATGCTCATGTTTTTGCCTAAAAGACAGGTGTTATAATTTTGGGATATATTATCAGATTATAAATAAATTGATTTTTTTAAAATCATGATATTATCAAACAAGAAAAGACTTACATCTGAAGGTAGTGGGTATGGTGTGACACAGATACTCGGAGGGTCGGAGCTAGATCGTCGTGGTAACCGTTGATACAACTCTTCCGTAACAAACGGCATGAACGGATGCAGCAGACGTAGACCTACATCTAGACATGTATATAACACGTCCTGACAAATTACCTTCGCCTCCTCATCAGAACCGTATATAATAGGCTTGATATTCTCCTAAAAGATGTCAACAAAGATATTTAATTGAAATTCATACCTCAAAAAAATTTTCATAGATTTTATTTTCCAGACAGTTCCTATTAAAATGAGCATGGCATGCAGTGTTTAGGCTCCTCTTAAAAAAAATAAGTTAAAAAGGGGCACAACTCCAAAAATACTGCTTTCAGAATTATGTCTCTTGTCTAACAACTTCAACTCATCATGATAAACAAGTTTTCCAAGTTCATGTTTAAATACTGGGAAACATTAAACAGCGTGACGACATAACAAAGACAATGCAGCGATCATAAAAGCTTGACTTTTTCTTTGAAACAAAAAACAAAACTTTACAAGTCTAATATTAAATATCACATGCAATATTCAAAATCTGACTTCAATCATACAATAATATGATTAAGTAACTGCTAAATGTTTTGGCATCATTTTGACACATCTAAGAAAGTTTGAAATACTCAAAGGAATTCACCAGAAGTGCATACTTGTAACAAAATGTTTACAAAATGTTGTTACCCTGCAATAAAATCAAAATTCTGAGAAAACTTAACACCTTTACCTGTTAAATTTTTTAAATGGACTTGTCTAGCTTCCATTTTTGGAACTGTCCATTATCAATATTGGGGATATCAAGATGAAAATTATAAGTTTTGAAGTCAGCCAACAGTATAGAGCCAGGTCGAACTGCACAGAAATACAGAATGGACTGACTTTATACTGGTGGCAAAGGGATATTATCACATTTGGTTCCCACAGTGTAAGGGGTAAAAGAGACATTTATCAGTGTTACGTACCAGGTACCAGTCACAGAGTTCGTACAACCAGAAGTTATAGCAGGCTGTTGTTGCTGTTGGGAAATCGTAGCTCTCAAAACCGACTTTACACGCCTCTACTGTGTTACTCAACTTGCTCAATATCCATAACTCCATCTCATTCTCTTTACCACACAACTGTTATATAATAAAATCAATTAAAGTATTACATATATAATTATGTTCACAATTAAAGTGCTTTGTATATTTGATAAAACAAGGGCCATAACTCCGAAGAAGCTTGTTTATCAAAGCTTGGCAGACTGCTAGCTGACAGATCATATTTAACATAGCCTGTTTTTGCAGGCATTTGAAAATAACCTTTATTAACAAAGTCGTATATTTTCATAGTATTACATGCACTTAAACACACTAAATACAATTACTGGCTAATAATTTTGAGGATTCATAGAATAAAATTTGCTTATTATACAAAGTAGTGTCACAAGTTAGAAACTTTTAGATTCAATATATTGGAACCACTTTCAAGTCCTTTTTTCTAAACTAACTAATACCCTTGCGTTATGATTACGAGGAATCATGATCTTAATAGTTGATCATCTGTTTAATTTGTTTTGTTGGATTTTAAATCGCACAAACACTAGAAATGGTCATATTGCATTTTTCCAGCTCAAAGATCCTGTAACTCAATCTTTTTATAGTTTTATATCATAAATTTGATTCTCAAATGAAGATTTATCGGTATTGTAAGCTACAAAATTTCATGTAAATAAAGGGAGGTAATTCGAAATCTATGTTCGATAAAGTCTAAGCCAAATTTTTCAATAAGAAATGAATGCAAAGTTGAAAGATATTAATAATTACTTATAATGCAAATAAACATTTGCAGTACATATTCAACATTTTCAACATACTTACAACATATAGGATCTATAAGTGGCAGAGGAAGACCTCAGGTGCCCCTACATACATTATAAATTATTTTAGGTACATTATAAATATAGAGAGAATAACCTACCTGAGCAGAGGGTTTGGGTTTGAAATCAGTTCCTAAAGCAGTGAGAGCAAATCTTGTTGCATTCCACAGTTTGTTACAGAAAAACCTATATCCTTGTACACGAAGTACATCTAGATTTATGTCACGCCCTGTAACCGTAGAAATATTATAATAATAATGAATCAATAAATTTAAACAAATCTCTTACCATAATCACTGTATTACTGAATGGAAACAACTCAAACATTTATATTCATAACTAAACATTTATATTCATAACCTTTTATGTGAAAGTAGAATTGTTTTTACAAAAAGAACTTTTTACCTATTCTTCTTAATTGTTCAAGGTAACTTTAAATCTACTCTTGTCTGGAGTAAAAACTATCTCTTTGATAAAGGTACATTTTAACTTCTAAGGAATGATAAGTAAAGTTTGATATCAAATTACTACTTTTAAGTAACTTTTAATACATGTAGTTGAAAAATATTTTTTTAAAGGAACTCCATTGAGGTCCAAAAGATTTAAAATATAAAATTCAATTTTTTGATATAGCTCAACGGGGACACTTTGAACAAAGAGATATGCAAAGATAACAAACAAATATACACAGAAATAAATTGAAAATCATATTTTTATTCTTTGCATGATTTTCAAATTTGGGTCATTTTTTTTACAATTTGAATAAATATTCAGGAAATCGCAGTGAGTAAAAATCTGATATTTTGTACACAAGTTATTGGGGTGGACCTACATCAAATGGAAAAATTCTTTTGAATTTTTTTTTTCAAATCCTGTCATATTAATAAACCACAGGTGAGTCCCTTTAAAGATTTTAAACATTTGAAAATTTTATCCGAAGGTAAAGCCTTTATCATTTACCTGTTGTATATGAGATGAGCGCAAATCTGAGGGCATCTGTACCACACTCTGGTATACCATTAGGGTAATCTTGTTTCTATAATAACAAGATATGTTTGTAAAACATGTATGCCCCCTATCAGCAGCCAATTATTCATGTGATAAGGTAATTATGCATGACTTCTGACCCAGTGATCAAACAATTAATAAAGGTTATCAAGTATCTACTGGTCATGACCTTGACCTTTGACCCCTTGACCCAAAACTCAATAGGGGTCATCTGCTGGTCAAGACCAATCATCATACAAAGTTTGAAGTTCCTAGGCCTAAGCGTTTTTAGTTAATTGATCAGAAACCGTTTTTACTTACAAGGTCAATGTGATCTTGACCTTTGACCCCTTGACCCCAAAATCAATAGGGGTCATTTGCTGGTCATGACTAATCACCATGCCAAGTTTGAAGTTCCTAGGCCTAAGGGTTCTTTTATTATTGATCCGAAACCGTTTTAACATACAAGGTCAATGTGACCTTGACCTTTGACCCCAAAATCAATAGGGGTCATCTGCTGATTATGACCAATCACTATGCCAAGTTTGAAGTTCCTAGGCCGAAGCGTTCTTTAGTTATTGATCAGAAACCGTTTTTACTTACAAGGTCAATGTGACCTTGACCTTTGACCCCTTGATCCCAAAATCAAAGGGGTAATCTGCTGGTCATGAAAAATCACCATACCAAGTCTGAAGTTCCTAGGCCTAAGCGTTCTTAAGTTATTGATCAGAAACCGTTTTTACTTACAAGGTCGATGTGACCTTGACCTTTGACCCCTTGACCCAAAACTCAATAGGGGTCATCTGCTGGTCACCACCAATCATCATACAAAGTTTGAAGTTCCTAGGCCTTAGCGTTTTTAGTTAATTGATCGGAAACCGTTTTTACCTACAAGGTCAATGTTACACGACCTTTGACCCCTTGACCCTAAAACAATAGGTCATCTGCTGGTCATGACCAATCACCATACCAAGTTTGAAGTTCCTAGGCCTAAGGGTATTTAAGTTATTGATCGGAAAGCATTTTTACCTACAAGGTCAATGTGACCTTGCCCTTTTACCCCTTAACCCCAAAATCAATAGGGGTCATCTGCTGGTCATGACCAATCACCATACCAAGTTTGAAGTTCCTAGGCCTAAGGGTTCTTTAGTTATTGATCGGAAACTGTTTTTACCTAAGAGGTCAATGTGACCTTGACCATTGACCCCTTGACCCCAAAATCAATAGGGGTCATCTACTGATCATGACCAATCACCATATCAAGTTTGAAGTTCCTAGGCCTAAGGGTTCTTTAGTTATTGATCGGAAACTGTTTTTACCTAAGAGGTCAATGTGACCTTGACCTTTGTGCCCTTGACCCCAAAATCAATAGGGGTCATCTACTGGTCATGACCAATCACTATATCAAGTTTGAAGTCCCTAGGCCTAAGGGTTCTTTCATTATTGATCGGAAACCGTTTTTACCTACAAGGTCAATGTGACCTTGACCTTTGACCCCTTAACCCCAAAATCAATAGGGGTCATCTACTGATCATGACCAATCACCATATCAAGTTTGAAGTCCCTAGGCCTAAGGGTTCTTTCCTTATTGATCGGAAACCGTTTTTACCTACAAGGTCAATGTGACCTTGACCTTTGACCACTTAACCCCAAAATCAATAGGGGTCATCTGCTGGTCATAACCAATCACCATACCAAGTTTGAAGTTCCTAGGCCTAAGGGTTCTTTTGTTATTGATCGGAAACCGTTTTGACCCAAGAGGTCAATGTGACCTTGACCTTTGACCCCTTGACCCCAAATCAATAGGGGTCATCTACTGATCATGACCAATCACCATACCAAGTTTGAAGTTCCTAGGCCTTAAGGTTCTTTACTTATTGATCGGAAACCGTTTTTGCTTACAAGGTCAATGTGACCTTGACCTTTGACCCTTGACCCCAAAATCAATAGGGTCATCTACTGATCATGACAAATCACCATACCAAGTTTGAAGTTCCTAGGCCTTAAGGTTCTTTAGTTATTGATCGGAAACCGTTTTTGCTTACAAGGTCAATGTGACTTTGACCTTTGACCCCTTGACCCCAAAATCAATAGGGGTCATCTACTTGTCATGACCAATCACTATACCAAGTTTGAAGTTCCTAGGCCTAAGGGTTCTTTAGTTATCACTCGGAAACCATTTGGTCTACGGACCGACGGACCGACAGACCGACGGACCGACGGACCGACAAGTGCAAAGCAATATACCCCCTTTTCTTCGAAATGGGGGCATAATAATATAGTATATATATAATCTGTCTACTTATTTTTCATAATCATTTCAATAATAGTCTGACTTTTGTCTTTAGCGACCACTGTAATTTCCCCATCTTTATCCTATCTTTATCCTATCTTTATCCTATCTTTATCTTATCTTTATCCTATCTTTATCCTATCTTTATCTTTAATGTATTAAGAGACTTTTGCTAAATGTGACAGCTAATTAGTCAGCTAATTGAGATCAATCTTTTCATCAAGCGGCCACATATACCTGTCAAGTGCTTGTGTTTGTAGAGAATGCCGTTTCGTGATGTAACAAGTGTCAACAATCAAAACACAATATATACATATGTGAAAAACTTTATATCCCAAACTTTTTTTGTAGTGTATGCAAATGAAGTTAAGTATACATGTGATGTGTATTATCCAATGAAATCGAAAGAACAAAGCAACGCCCTGCCCCTACTGTGATGGTGTAAAAAAAGGCTTCTCTGTTGATATTTGGACTGCATTGAATTGACATTGAACTTGATCAGCAATTAATTAAATTAATTGTTACAATTAAACATAATTTGCTTATTTCAAATGAAAAATGCACAACAGAAAGCATCTTCACTTATGAGATGTTAAGTGTCAGGGACAAGGAAAAGCAATAGAAGAGCTTAAAATTTCTTGACAGATGTCAAACATGTATGTAATGGATCAAAACCTTTTAGTCATTAAATATCAGAAAAGTATTTTTTTTTATTTTAGCACTTATTTAGATTATCAGTGTTTTAATTATTAACATTTATATAAATAAAATAAAGTTGATAAATTTCCCCACCACAAAAGAAAGATATCATGAATAAATTTCAACTTTTTCTCATGCTTTGTATAAAGACACCATTGCACTAAGTGATCATTTTTGGTGTTTCCCTTGCGTAGTCTTTTAATACACATTTGACTGTACAAGCTTGAAAGATATTCAGTATGAAATGCTTTTTTTTTCACTATTTAATGAACAATTTTTCTATGTCAAAACATACATCTGGTATAAATAAATCAACTTGTGTAAAGTCTTGTCAGAATTCAGACTGGCCTGGCTCTATATAGATAGCACATACCCAAAATTATTGTAACAAAAATTCACATGTGGAGGTAATATATAACCCTACCTGGCCATCTTTAGCCTTGGCAATTTCTTTCTCATCAAGATTTCCCTCTTGTAACCTCTGATGTAGAAGGTCTAGAGATATTCCTGTTATTACATCTATAGGATCTATCACATTACCCAGTGTTTTACTCATCTTTCTACCATGAGCATCTCTCACCATTGCATGAAGATATACCTGTAATTAATCAACATATACCGGTAATTAAAATTATATAAAAATATATCTGTAATTATCATTACCTGAAGATTTACCAGTATTATCATTATTACATGTAATTTTCATTACATTGAGATATATCAGCAAATGATCATTGCATGAAGATATACCTGTAATTATCATTGCATGAATATTTACCTGTAATTATCATTGCATGAATATTTACCTGTAATTATCATTGCGTGAATATTTACCTGTAATTATCATTGCATGAATATTTACCTGTAATTATCATTGCGTGAATATTTACCTGTAATTATCATTGCGTGAATATTTACCTGTAATTATCATTGCGTGAAGATATACCTGTAATTATCATTGCATGAATATTTACCTGTAATTATCATTGCATGAATATTTACCTGTAATTATCATTGCATGAATATTTACCTGTAATTATCATTGCGTGAATATTTACCTGTAATTATCATTGCATGAATATTTACCTGTAATTATCATTGTGTGAATATTTACCTGTAATTATCATTGCGTGAATATTTACCTGTAATTATCATTGCGTGAATATTTACCTGTAATTATCATTGTGTGAATATTTACCTGTAATTATCATTGCGTGAATATTTACCTGTAATTATCATTGCGTGAATATTTACCTGTAATTATCATTGCGTGAAGATTTACCTGTAATTATCATTGCGTGAATATTTACCTGTAATTATCATTGCGTGAAGATTTACCTGTAATTATCATTGCGTGAATATTTACCTGTAATTATCATTGCGTGAATATTTACCTGTAATTATCATTGCGTGAATATTTACCTGTAATTATCATTGCGTGAATATTTACCTGTAATTATCATTGCATGAATATTTACCTGTAATTATCATTGCATGAATATTTACCTGTAATTATCATTGCATGAATATTTACCTGTAATTATCATTGCGTGAATATTTACCTGTAATTATCATTGCGTGAAGATTTACCTGTAATTATCATTGTGTGAATATTTACCTGTAATTATCATTGCGTGAAGATTTACCTGTAATTATCATTGCGTGAATATTTACCTGTAATTATCATTGCGTGAATATTTACCTGTAATTATCATTGCATGAATATTTACCTGTGATTATCATTGCGTGAAGATTTACCTGTAATTATCATTGCGTGAAGATTTACCTGTGATTATCATTGCATGAATATTTACCTGTAATTATCATTGCGTGAAGATTTACCTGTAATTATCATTGCGTGAATATTTACCTGTAATTATCATTGCATGAAGATTTACCTGTAATTATCATTGCATGAATATTTACATGTAATTATCATTGCATGAAGATTTACCTGTAATTATCATTACATGAAGATATACCTGTAATTACCATTGTATTAGGATATACCTATATTTATCATTACATGAAAATATACCTGTAAATAATAGGGCTTTGAAAATATATCTGTAATTATCATTACATAAAGATATACCTGTAATTATCATTTCATGAAGATTTAACTGTAATAATTATTATTACCTACAGATATACCTGCAATTATTATTACCTGTATGCCTGTAATTATCATTACCTAAATATTTATTATCATTACATGAAGATTTACCTGTAATTCCAATAGATTTTTAAATAAAACATGTTACTTTATTGACAAATGAAAAATAAATTCCCATATATTTCATTATAACAGTAATTTTGAAGTCTTACCTCGGTAAAAGGTAAATCACCTAACAATGTTCTACCAAACATGACCATTCTAGCTACCCAGAAAAACAAGATGTCATGTCCTGTCTCCAACAGTGATCCTGGATAAAACTTCTTCAAGTCTGGAGTCTGTAATAATATAATATGTAAATATTAGAGATAAACATTGCCATAGAAACAGCTTGTATATTTATTAACTGCTAAATTTAGCACAAAATAAGTGATGTCCCTAAAACTGGAAATGGTGCTACCATACAAACATAAAAGGAAAATAACTCTGCAAGAAGTCACTCAAATTAAACTTCCAACAGATTAAATTTATATCAATGTTATACAACAATAGGATTTTGTGAGAATTTTTTCTAGATAACTAACTAGTAATAACCAATTTCTCCAGAAGTAATCAACAACTAATCCCACATGATTTCTGAACCAGCAGTGAGAGACAAATGACCATTAGACTCCGTCTGATATCGATTGACATAAGAAAAACTACTCCTCATCCAAGGATTAAACACAAACCTCTAAAGTACTAATTCAATGTTTTCCCTATTGAGCCAAGTGTGCGGACCCCTAGAATAATGATCAAACTTTTATAATAAATGGATAATCCATCACATATTTACCTCATCTGGCCATCCAAATACAGAGAACGGGAACAAAGCTGAAGAGAACCAAGTGTCTAATACATCTGGGTCTGAAAAATACATAAAAATTAAATTCACAGTATTTCTGTTGCCAGATAAAAAAATTATGGAATAGATCCTCTTGGCACATTTCACATAGTTCATACATGGCTGATTCATACATGCCGGATTTTGTGAGAAAAAATATATAATCTGTACTTTCTTACCTGCAGCACAACTACAACAATAACCCCAGAAATGTCACAAAATATCAAATCAAAACTAAATTGACTTCATTTTCAATACCATATACAGTATATTTCAATTAATTAGCTACAATGAATTTTACACTAATTGCTTTTGTAGAATTCATAGATAGCAGGTTTTCTGACTGATCACACTTTAAAGATAATTCAGACTTTCAATTCAAAATAAAATCAAAGGATTGTAGGCTGTGTGGGTTCAACTCCTATCAAGGGCATGCCATTGTTGTTTCCTTGAGCAAGAAACTTAACACTCCTTGTTTAGTACAGGCTGGTTCAAGGAATGAATTCAAGACTGTGTCAATAAACCTATGGCTTTCTACACAATCAAACTTAAATAAATTCTGTATAGACTAATCAAAGTGAAACTTATTTCAGCAAAGCGGATACCATAATATCTTTCCTCACACATCATCAAGAATTGCATATTTAAAGTTCAAAACATAAAACAGTTCTCAGGGGTCTCAATGTTTTTTTTTAAGTTTTGTTTCAATTAATTAATATTATGTCAATTAATACCATTCCGCAAACAAATATTACCTTGTGTAAGTGTGATTTTATCTTTCGAGACGTTAAATTTTGCCGCAGCTTTATCTCTAGCCTCTTCTTCAGTGCGGGCACATATCCAGTACTGTCCGTCAGTGTCCTTACCCGCCGGAATATTTGGATCATCTATAGTTGCAAAGTATGCCGGGATACGATGTCCCCACCATAGCTGACGAGATATACACCAATCTCTACCAAAAATAAATAATACGAGTAAGGTAAGTATGATAATATTCTTTCTATCCATTGCATGTAACCATTGGTCAACTTGTCAACTTTTTGTATCTACTATCTAACGATGGGTAAAAATTGAAATACCATGTAATCTTAATCTTTTTAATTTGACATATAGACAAAAAAGAGATTTTTTATGATGTCTAAAAATCCTGTTATTCAAGAATAATTCTAAAAACATTTTACTTCATGTTTCACTGGAACAAA